ACAATTTCTTTTTCCACAGTTGCTCAACTTCAATTTGCAAGTCCCGGTACTTTGTGATTTTTTCTTGCTGCTTATTTTCAATCCGTGCATCACCCGGTATTGCAATGTCAATGAACCATACTTTTTTCTTTTCAACTATTGTTATGTCAGGTGTGTTGTGGACCAAGTGCCTGTCAGTCTGAATCCTAAAGTCCCACAAGATCTTGAGTTTCTCATTCTCTAGAACTTTCTCAACTTGATGTTCCCAGTGGTTTTTGCTGTACTCAAATCCAAACTTCTGGCACAATTTCCAGTGAATGATCTTAGCAACGCGGTCATGGCGTTGTAGGTAGTCAGATTATTATTATTATTATTATTATTATTATTATTATTATGTTGTTATTATTATTATTATTATTATTATTAAACAGTATACACAGCAAACAAGATGACCATGCTGGATTTAGTATCCCAAATCACTAGTCGAACACTTCCCAAGCATTTAGGACTGCCTATATAATAATAATATAATAATAATAATAATAATAATAATAATAATAATAATAATAATAATTTATTATTATTATTATTATTATTATTTAGAAAATTGTCCTTTTTTTGTTGCTGTTGCTACTTTTTGTGGCAGAAAACTTAGAATAAGTTGCCAAAATAATTTATCTTGGGAAAGTATAGTAGTTGGTGAGGTATTTTTTTTATCCAACATGAAGGCAAGGAAATTTGGGGAGCCTACCTAAGAACAACTGCCCAAGGAACTGAGATCCTTGGTGAAATGAGGTCATACAGCCATAACTGATAAAATAAATTTATATATATATATATTTTCATGTGACATAGCAGGCTTGAAATGAACCAGCAATTGAGGGCAAAGCTGTTAATGATTAAGGAAATATTGTGTTGCAACAGACAGTCTCGAGATAGGAGAGTTGGAAGCAGCGTTTCTCAACTTTAGCAACTCGAAGAAATGTGGACTCCCAAACTTCCCCCGCCAATTATATGGGGAAAGATGTTTCTTCTCATCAAAACAAAAAGACAAAGGTTTCCACCCAATCAAGGGAATGGGGATTTTGCAGTATCCTTCCCCTGGAGTGGGGAGGGAATGGGGATTTTGCAGTATCCTTCCCCTGGAGTGGGGTGGGAATGGAGATTTTGCAGTTTCATTCCCCTGCAGTGGGGAGGGAATGGGGATTTTGCAGTATCCTTCCCCTGGAGTGGGAGGGAATGGGGATTTTGCAGTATCCTTCCCCTGGAGTGGGGTGGGAATGGAGATTTTGCAGTTTCATTCACCTGGAGTGGGGAGGGAATGGGGATTTTGCAGTATCCTTCCCCTGGAGTGGGGAGGGAATGGGGATTTTGCAGTACCCTTCCCCTGAAGTGGGGTGGGAATGGAGATTTTGCAGTATCCTTCCCCTGCCACATCCACCAAGCCACACAACACCCACCAAACCATGCCCACAGAACCGGTAGTAAAAAAATTTGGATTTCACCACTGGTGTGCGCCCTATACCATTCCAAACAACCGGCTATCCAATCTCTTCTTAAAAACTTCCAGCGATGGTGCACCCACAACCTTGGAGACTCTTTGGTGTTCTCCTACAATCTGGGCCTCTGGAAATATTTTTAAAATCCCATTAATTTTGGTTGCCGGCAACGTGGGACGAGAACTGTTGGTTAAATCATCTGCAGAGGCCCAGCTCCTGGAGATGAGAATGCCGCTAACCGGCATTCTGGTTAACTTCTTGAGAGAACATTTTGTTTTCATGTAGATTTTTGTTTTGAGTTTCCCCCCCCCCTCTCTCTCTCGACTTCAGTTTCAGTTTCTCTCTACTGTTGTTGTTTTTAAGATTAAAAACAGAAAGCAGTTGGTGTTTATTGTGGTGGCTCGGAAGCCTGTCTGAGCGTCTTGTAAGAAAAGTAACCAAGTAAAATTAGAATATCTTCCCTGGTATTAACATTTGAGCTTTTCTACCGTCCGTAGCAAATACTGTGGTTTGTTTGCAAAGCTTCAGCAAAAAATCTGAGCCTCCAGAAGGCTTCTGTAATTCTTAAGGATTATGCATCTACACCCAATTGTGGATTATGCAGAATTGCACACTAAACTGGCAAAAGCCTTGATAGTACAGTGGTCTACGCACCCTGTTATTAACACAGCTGCCTGCAATTTACTGCTGGTTCGAATCTCTCCAAGGCTCAAGGTTGACTCAGCCTTCCATCCTTTCTAAGGTAGGTGAAATGAGGACCCAGTTTGTGGGGGCAATAAACTGACTTTGTATAAATATACAGAAGTATGAAGGCTATTGCTTAACGCATTGTAAGCCGCCCTGAGTCTCCGGAGAAGGGCAGCATATAAATCAAAATTAAAAATAAAATTAAAAAAAAGTTGTGTGCATTTTTTTTCTGCCACTTCACCATCTTTGAAGCTACAGTTGCCAACATTTAGTTGGGGATATTCGGGAACTTCAACCTGGCCATTTTGACAAATGGTGTGTTTTGTTTGAAAATCAAGTATATATGTTGGAGGTCCATTTCCTCTATTCTTGCCAAAGTTTAACCAGCAACAACAGGATTTTAATCAGGGATGTGGAGCCTTACGGTATCTCCTCTGCATTTGCCAGGTTTTTGTTTTTTTTTAAGTGTTGTAGCAATATTTTTGTAACACTGATGACACCTCGCTGTAAAGAAAAGGGTGTGTGATTCTTGAAGGATGAGTTACGTGCCGAAATCCATGCATTTCAAAATCAGAAAATTTGGTTCTCAGTTCTCACTTTGTCACTACCTTCTTCTGGAATGCTTTTTTGACTTCTTGGACCTGGGATCTCCTGATGGCCTCCCATCCCAGGCACACATATAACACAGAGAGATTGTCTTTCTGTCTGTCTATCCTTCCGTCCATCTGATAGACTTGTGTATAGATACAGTACATGTGTATATAGAACAGTATGTGTGTATACAGTATAAAGGTAAAGGTTCCCTTTGCATATATGTGCTAGTTGTTCCCGATTCTAGGGGGCGGTGCTCATCTCTGTTTCAAAGCTGAAGAGCCAGCGCTGTCCGAAGACGTCTCCATGGTCATGTGGCTGGCATGACTAAACACCAAAGGTGCACAGAATGCTGTTACCTTCCCACCAAAGGTGGTCCCTATTTTTCTACTTGCATTTTTTATGTGCTTTCGAACTGCTAGGTTGGCAGACGCTGGGACAAGGAATGGGAGCTCATCCAGTTATGCGGCACTAGGGATTCAAACCGCTGAACTGCTGACCTTTCGATTGACAAGCTCAGTGTCTTAGCCACTGAGCCACCACTTCACTATCGTATACAGTATATGTGTGTACATATAGAAACACAAACACACAAAATGTATCTATATATATCTATCAAGAGATATAGAATGTGTTTATCTGATATTTGTGTTATATACAGAGTATGTATATAGGAGAGATACAAATAGAACATATGATACACATATATATTTGTGGGTGTATACACACAAATATCAACAACCTCAGATATGCAGATGATACCACTCTAATGGCAGAAATGAAGAGGAACTAAAGAGCCTCTTGATGCGGGTAAAGAAATCTAGACAGCATACTAAAAAGCACAGACATCACCCTGCCAACAAAAGTGCGTATAATCAAGGCTATGGTTTTACAAGTTGCAATGGATGGCTGTGAAAGTTGGAGCGTAAGGAAGGCTGAGCGCCAAAGAATTGAGGCCTTTGAACTCTGGTGCTGGAGAAGACTCCTGCGAGTCCCTTGGACTGCAAGGCGATCCAACCGGTCAGTCCTACAGGAGATCAACCCTGACTGCTCTTTAGAAGGCCAGATCCTGAAGATGAAACTCAAATACTTTGGCCACCTAATGAGAAGGAAGGACTCACTGGACAAGAGCCTCATGCTGGGAAAGATTGAGGGCAAAAGAAGAAGGGGACGGCAGAGAATGAGGTGGCTGGATGGAGTCACCGAAGCAGTCGGCGTGAACATAAACGGACTCCAGAGGATGGTAGAGGACAGGAAGGCCTGGAGGAACGTTGTCCATGAGGTTGCGATGGGTCGGACACGACTTCGCAACTAACAACAATATATGTGTGCGACGATTATCCTATACCTATCTTATCTGCACTACTATTAATCTTCTCATTGTTCCCATCACCCATGTCCTTCCACTTATGACTGTAACTTTGTTGCTTGTATCCTTACGGTTTATATTTCCTCATATGATTCGATGCTTATTTGTTCCCTATGACGATCATTAAGTGTTGTACCTTATGATTCTCGATGGACGTATCTTTTCTTTTTATGTACACTGAGAGCATATGCACCAAAGACAAATCCATTCACACTTGGCCAATAAAGAATTCTGTTCTGTTCTGTTCTGTTCTGTTCTGTTCTGTTCTGTTCTGTTCTGTTCTATTCTATTCTATTCTATTCTATTCTATTCTATTCTATTCTATTCTATTCTATTCTATTCTATTCTCTCTCCTCTCTTCTATGCATCCATCCTATCTATCCATCTATCCTACCCATGTATCCATTCTTAAAAAATCTCGCCCATGTTTTAGTTTCTGAGCCTTAAGGGAACCTTCCCCTTTCATTTCCAGCCAGTCGATAACGATGGGCGTGAGCCTTCCTGTATCCGGAGGGCGCTAAAATCTTGGGGAATGCCGCCAGTCCGGAAAAGCTGCCTCGTTTCTTGCTTCTTTCGAGGGGGGAAAAATAATCTCTTTTCACGCCCCACCGACCTTCGCCTGGCTCCCCTCCTTCGCCGTCTCCCCGAGAGTCAAGCGAGCGCCTTCCCGCACGGGCTTCCTTTTCAGCGGAGTTGGGTGGGGGGGCTTGGAGAGGGGGGAGGAGCGGCGCGCGGGTGGTCCAGCCTGTCCGGCGGGGCAGAGGCGGCTGGGCGGAGGGGGGGCGTGGCCTAGGGAACGCCCCTTCAGAGGGGAGAGGGCGTGGCTGGCCGGACCCTGCCTATAAATACTCCTCCCGCGGCGCCGGACTGAGGAGAGGCGTGCGGGGTCGCGTGGGTGCAGGTGGTCCGTGGCGCTTCGTGAAGCGTCCGTTGGTTGAGAACGTTTTTTTTTTTTGAGGAGGCGGTGAGGGGGTCTCGGTCCGTGCTTCAAAGCGCCCCTCTTGTCTTTTTTTTCCTCTCTCCTTCCCGGCTCGGTGAGGGTCTCGGCTCGGGGCAGCGTCTTGAAAGGGCTCCCGCCCGTCCAGGTGAGAGAGTTGGTCGCGCTTTTTTACGCCCGCTCCGTCGGTCGTTGAGCGAGCGGCTGCTCCCGTCGTCCGCGAACGGCTGGTGGGGAAAGCTCTGGGGAGAGGGGAAAAAAAAACAAACTGGGGCGGTCGGGCTGGGTAGGGAGGATGGGAAAGGGAGTCGAGCGCTGGGTTTGCCGAGTCGACCTCGCCGGGTTGTTGTGAGTGTGTGTGGGGGGGGGGGAGGACCAAATAGAGTGAGAGGGGGGAGGTACGAGGCCAAACAAACCTGATTCTTCCCCCCTCCCTCCCAGTCTGCCCCATTCTTTCAAAAGGAGAAGTTTTGAAAAACTTTGGAAAAGTTTTGCCCCCCACCCAAAAAACCCCCTCATCTACTCCCCCTTCCCCATCGGACTTGAGCTTCTGACCCCCCCTCCAAAAAAATGATGATTATCTTTTGCAGTTGGGCATCCTATCTTATTTTCATCTCTCTCTCTCTCTCCCCCCACATCATTCTTCTGCCAATGGACACCCCGAGTTGCTTTGCCTGCCTTCCTCGCTTAGTGGTTTATCGGAAATTTGGCCTTATAGGAAGAAATGGACAATTCAGGCTTTCTTTTTAAAAAAGAAAAGAAAAGTAGAGTGGGGGGGGAGCCTTCTCTTGTCAGCTAGGTTTTGAGGACCACAAATTTCCTAGGGTGAATTATGGGGGACCCCAGATGAGCCTCCTTGTTTTGTTAGGTGAGCAGAGTTTATGCCAAGAATGGATTCTCTGTTCCTAATGTCCTGTTCTTGGGTGGCTGGAGAGGCAAAATTGCCTGTGTTGCTTTCAAAAGTTATTCTAAGTCTTGCTTTTTTTCCCCCTTGTCCAGAGTTGCAAAATGTTCAAGCGAATTCACCTGTTTCTGAAGCAATACTGACTCTTTTTATTTTGGATTGCCTGATTTTTGAGATGGTGGGAGTTTAAGATCAGTGTTTCTCAGCCTTTGGGGCAAACTTAAGATGTGGTTAAGACTCCTTAATTCTGGGAGTTGAATCCCTACATCCAAGTTGAGAGCCACTGATTTAAGGGACTCTTGTTTTAACTTTGAAAAGTGCAGCTGGGCTGACTTATATATTGATCTGTTCGCTGTTGAAGGACAGCATAGGAGATGAGTAGCAACAGAAATGAATATTTGTAGCTCAGGATTGAACTGGGGGGTCCTCGGTGCTCTCTGTGCTTGGTTGTTTTCCTGCAGACATTTCATTACCCAATTAAATAACATTCTCAGTGCTAGAAGGGAGTGGAGTTTGCTCTCTTTACATATACATTTAGAGAGCAAACTCCACTTCCCTTCTAGCACTGATGATGTTACTTAGTTGGGAAATGAGATGTTTGCAAGAAAATAACCAAGCCCAGCAGAGCACCAAGGACCCCACAAGTTGATTTTCTTAAAAATCAAAGTAAAAATTCCCTGAACTAGAGTTAAAACGACTTAAGTTTTCTTGTAGTATTTGGCCATCTTTATCTGTTTAATAGGGTAGAACACAAGGAGGGAAGGCTGAAAATATTCCCACGACACACTTGAATTAGTAAAATGTAGTGATAGGTTTACATAGCATTGCTATACACCATCTGTTTGCTGCCTTAAAACTGTGGGCCTGTTCACACAAAGCATTAAGTCAATGGCTGAGCCTCAAACCTACCCAGCACTGTTCCAGTTTAGCATCTTGTATAAAAAGAAAATTTAAAAGTCGGTAAGATTCTATTGCCTTCCAAACACCAGCATGCAAATATCAGGTTTCCCTTTAGTTTTATTCATTTTCAGTCTGCAGTTTTCTTGGCAACAAATAGGAAGTGATTTGCTGTTATTTTCTTCCAGTGCTTTTCATCTTCCCCATATAGCCTGTATCTCTGGCATTTCCTGGTGGTGCCCCATCCAACTTACAACTCTCTGGATCCTATTAACTTTTCCAAGATCAGCTAAGACTGTGTGCACTGTGGGGACCGTAATAAGCAGAGTTCTTTAACATGGTAGAATTTTAAAAATGCACATTTGGGAGGAATAAACTGTTAAACTGTTAGGCTTTGCAGAGGTTTTACATGGACTGAAATTCATTGCATCAGCTGAATAAGGTTTGAAGACAAAGAAGAGCAGATACAAGTGTGAATCTCATAGTCTGGAAGATGATTTTAAATAGCCTGGAACGCTTGTAAAAATCGGATCAGAAAGCTTTTCTTTCCAACTGTTTTTTTGTTTTTGTTTTGTCAGAGGACGCTGTTTTAATTGCAGCTGAATGATTCCTCTGGGATCTTGCTATAGCTAGAGGGTGTAGTTGGATTTTTCAAACTGGTGTGGTCACAATTTATTTGCTTGAGTTGCCAGGAGGTAGCTGCTGCTTAGATAATACTGGCGAAGGGTCATCAGATGAAAAGATAGTCTTCGACTTACGACCACAATTGAGCCCAAAATTTATTTCTTAAGTAAGAAATTTGGTAAGTAGGTTTTGCCTCATTTGTTAAGGGGAATCACTGTTAAATGAGTAACCTGGTTGTTAAATGAATCTGGTTTTCCCCATTGACTTTGCTGGTCAGAAGGTCACAAATGGTGATCGTGTGACTCAGGGATGCTGCAACTATCATAAATATGAGTCAGTTGTCAAGCATCCAAGTGTAAATCACGTGACTGGGGATGCTGCAATGGTCACATGCCTGAAAAAATGGTCCCGAGTCACTTTTTTTCAGTGCTGTTGAAACTTTAAATGGTCACTAAGTCAACTGTTGTAAGTCAAGGACTACCTGTATAGGGTGACTATGACTGGGAGGGAAGTTAGGCTGTATATCAGCAGGGCTTCTCAAGACTAAGCACGTGAGAACTTTCAGCTGCATAAATTTAAGCTGCCTGGAAACCCTCCCACAATGTGTGGTCACCACATTATAAAAATGATGTTGAGGCTCCAGAAAAAGTGCAGAGAAGAGCAACCAAGATGATTAGGGGACTGGAGGCCAAAACATAGGATGAACGGTTGCAGGAACTGGGCATGGCTAGTCTAGTGAAGAGAAGGACCAGGGAAGACATGATAGCTGTCTTCCAATACTTGAGTGGCGGCCACAGAGAGGAGGGGGGGTCAAGCTGTTTTCCAAGGCACCTGAAGGCCAAACAAGGAATAATGGATGGAAACTGATCAAGGAGAGATTCAACCTGGAAATAAGGAGAAAATTTCTGGCAGAGCAATCAACCAATGGAACAGAAGTTGCCTTCGGAAGTTGTGGGAGCTTCATCACTGGAGGCTTTTAAGAAGAGACTGGACTGCCATTTGTCAGAAACAGTGTAGGGTCTCCTGCTTGGGTGGGGGGCAGGACTTGAAGCTCCCTTCCAACTCTGTTAATCTGTTAATGTGGACTTCAACTCATGGTGATCATGGTGGCTTAGGGATTCTTGGAGTTGAAGGACTTTCTTCTGGAAGGTGCCCAGCTGTATTTGCAGTTCCAGGTGCAGCACTAATCCCTCCTGCCCTTATAGGTGGCACGGGATTCTTTTGGGGTAGCATGCTCTTAATATGTGAAGAAGAGTTTGCTTTCAGGTTTGGTGAATCCTTCAAGGGAGAATTCCTGGAGGTCCATAGATCCGTGTCCCTCAATCTTATAAGAAGAGGGTCCTGCAAAGCTTCTCACTGATTTTCTGACTTGGGAAGGATGGCCAGAAGAGAGTCAAAGTTCACCATTCCCACTTGGACAGCAAAAGCTCTCGATATTCCCTTTGCCCTTCTTGGATAAACAGTGAAACAGCTGGAATCCTCTCGCAAGTTGGGCTGGCCTTGGAAGAGGGCTAGATCTCGGTGGGAGGTTCTTCCTGTGCTTGCAACAAGTTGTGGCAAACGGCTGTTCCTTGGCCCCGTCGTTGCTTTTGTGATGAGCTGCCTTAGGAATTGTGCCCAGATCACTTCTTGTTAAAACAAAAGAAACAAGTGCGCGTTAATTCCATTTCTGGAATTTGTTGAATTATCAGTGTGTGTTGCCCTGCTCTGTAAAAATCAGCGTTGGGAACAAAAATATTCTTCTACCTACCAAATGATAGAAGAAGTCTTTCTATGTGCTTTTCGTATCCTATTACTCTCAGTCCTCAAATCCCATAGATCCTAGTTACTGCACCCTGTGGACTTGAGTGTTGTAGTTCTTACAATTGTTTTTTGCAAGTCAAACGTCTAGACTACCCGTATCTAGAACAGCTCTGAGTAGCTTCCTAAAATTAAAACACAGTAATATACCAAAACTAACACACCAAATAGCACAACACACAACTGGTGTATGGAGAGAGAGACCACAAAAAAGCTCCAAACTATATACTATGCCCACTATAAAAGGGGACCTGGCCCAGGCTCGGGTAAAGAACCAGATTTTCAAAGATCACCAGAAGGTAGATAAGATGGAGCCATCTTGATTTCCAAGGGGGCTGTTGCAAGGCAATCTCCTGGGTCTCATAAGGTGGCTTTGGTTAATTGGTGGGACCCAGAATAAATCCCAGCAAAGTACCTGAAGGCAGGACAAGAAGCCATTGATGGAAACTAATCAAGGAGAGAAGCAACCTAGAACTAAGGAGACATTTCCTGACAGAACAATTAAGCCGTGGAAAGACTTACCTCCAGAAGTTGTGGATGCTTCAACACTGGAAGTTTTTCAGAAGAGATTTGTCTGAAATAGTTCAAGATTTCCTGCCTGACCAGAGGATTGGACTAGAAGACCTCCAAGATCCCTTCCAACTCTGTCGTTCTGTTAAGTGCAGCATGTTGAAGCGAATTGGGCGGGCAGATATTATGGGAGATAGGTAGTCCTCAAATATCTACACCTCCTGCCATGGAGGCCTTTATAAGTGACAGCCAGCATCTTGAATTGCACCCAGAAACCAACATCTGTCTTTGCATAAATCTATCTTCGATGACATTTCATTGGATCAGGCCACTTTTATGTTTTGCTTATCCTTTGTCGAAGGAGAAGAAATTCCAAAAGGGAAATTTTTGGGGGGAGGGCAGAATTCCGTGAG